TCCGTTACCTCTCTGTGGAATTGTAACATCTTTCGAACGGTTTTGTCTTCAAACTTCATTGAATTCAACTTCCATGTGAAGTTGTAAAACTAAGTCGTCTGTATTGTAATATGATATGGAGAAGGATACGGGCATTGACGGCCAAGTTGAGAATTTCCACACCTGTGTCGCCCCTCAACCGTAGCCGTGATAAAGCTCCTCAACCGCCTCTAAATTGGATCTCAATTGTATCATTAAGTGTTCATTTACAAACATTACGCGAGTCGCAAAGAGAATATTGAGCGGGAAATAAACCAACTTCTAAAAAAAATGAACATATTATATCGTCTGCTGACATTTCCTGCCACTTTCCCTTCATGTCTGATTTTTGGAGAAGGAGAACGAGTCCGCTGGCAACGTTTTCATTTTAACTACAGTACAACTCGCCAATACCAGAGCTGATTGATAACGGTCGTATCAATACAGCGTATTTTAACTTGCAACAAAGTGACATATCGAAGACATTTCTAAATAATTATGAATGACGTTACGTCAATTTCGTTGGCGGTGTTTGTAAGCTCCTCACGTTTTTTTACAATTGCGTGCCCTTTGTACTGACTGACTGACTGACTGTTTCAAGTAAGTTGAGTGATCGCTTGTCCACAGTATAGGAACCTGTATAAGAATTATAAAAATATGTTGAAAATGTGTACACCATGAGGACCATTACAACAGGTAATTGCTCGTTTAGAGCGCTGTCCTGCCGTGCCAAAACCGGTTCGGTAAGTCACACTTGTCGCTAACTACCCGAATAAATTATGACACTTTTTATTTCCACTTATGATCAAGAAGTTGGCAAAACAGACAAACAATAGAAACATTGGGGGCAATAAATTACATGTAACATGTGGTGTCAACTTTCAAGAGCTGTGTGTAGTGGTTGATGGGTGAGTTTTATCACTCACGACGTTGAATACAGAGAAATGTGTCGACCAGACACACCCTGATATGGTCACAGGTGTAACGTCACCCACCTCTGGTGTGCCTAGCACCCCGAGCTAAATTGTACAGCCGATATCAGTGTACCCAAATGATTAAAACACTCAAACTAGGATCTAGACAGTAATCCTATTAAACTGGCTCTGGAAACCACCCGCTGGTTGGGAAGGTGTGAAAACAAGCACTAAATAAGCTAGTAATACGTATATGTGCTTGAAAAACACCGATGGCGTTTTCATTGACGCGCTCCTGTGGACGAATTGGCTTCTGAGAAGTTACGCTAAGAAAAATCCCTTGATGAGAATATAGGGGGAGGGGTGCTCACTCCAATCGTAGACTTACAGTTATTGGATTTTTACTAATAACTATAAGCTCCATTATTTCTGTTGATTAAGGCTCCCCACTGGCTTTACTGTGTACTGTATTAACGGGTACGAATAACGAACTTGCTTTAAAAGCGTAACTTAAAGGGCGGCAGTCGTCGTGCCGCGTCCTGTTCGAGATGATACTCATAGCGACGTATACAACGCGTGTAAAATACATTGTTTATTTACATGAAATTCGAACACGCGCTGCACGACGACCACCACGCTTTAATAACGCTTACTATTTCGTGCTCGGATTTAACGAATAGCCGATGAGCCCCTTTTGGGGAAAATCTCAAGTCAGGTTCCGTAGTTTACATTTATGAATCAAGGCTTCATACTAGGCAACTGAAATCATGAATGAACCACAGAGGCAGTCGTATTTTTTATTGCTCGATTTTACAACCGACCAGTTCAACTCCGATCTGCTTCTGTCGTAAATCTCCGCTATAAATTAAATGCAGTGTATTACTCGTAATTCTCTAAGACAGATCCATACACAAGGCGTGTTGACAGAATCGATTCGATGCATGTCTCAAAT